GTTTTAGAGTGTGATATACTATTTGAATATTGTTATACTTAAATATTGTACCATTAACCCTAATAAATGGTTAGCTATATGATGTTTGCATAAAAAAATTCAATTCAAACAAACTAAGGTCAAAATCCAATAGGTAGACTCTTACCAAAGAAAAATGGAGAATATTTATGCAGGCTTGGAGATAGCCACAGTTCGTTTCAATAATCTTAGCAATATTTATCAATATAATAATAAACATATTCATTAAGAAAATTCCTTTGATACATCATATATATTTAATTATGCATTTTTATGATACATATTATGCATTTTAATTGTAAATATTACATAATTTATAATTTAGAAATGACTTTAGTTATTTTGTAACACAAAATACGTAATATTATCACAAAAATATATAATGTCATTTCTGAATCATACGTTGTCGTAATTCTATCATAAAATTACATAACATTTGCGATAAACATATCTACCTAGCCTCTGTTTGGGAAGAGGCTTTTTGGGCTTTTTTAGCTAAAATAGCCACAAAAGACAAAATAGGCTATTTTAGCCATAACAAACAAAACATCACATTCAATTCATAATCATTATACTCTTTTTTCACAAAAAAAAAAAACTAAAAGTCATTCTCAAACCAAGCTTTTTAGCCCAGGTCAAAATAACCAAAAAAACTAAAAAACCAAAAATCCAACCCTCTTCCTAAACCAACCCAAGTGCACATGATATATCAATTAAACATACACTCCATTTGTTTTGGACAGTAAACATTTTCCAATAGAAAAAATTTTTTATAAAAATATTTTTCAGAGAAAACATTTTTTTATATTTGGTAATGGCGGTGGGACAAAAGTGGATGCGGATGTGTTGGCAAGTGGTGATTGTGACGGTGATGGTGGCGGTGGCCATGGTGGTAGAAGTGAGAGTAGCGGTGATAATGTGGCGACATTAGTAAGATTTTAGCTTAGAAAATATTTTCATGAAAAACGTTTTCTGCTTAATTAAGTTTATTTTCCATTGATCATGAAAAATATTTTCTGTTAACTTTAGTTTTTCATTATATCAAATGTTAAGAAATATGAAAAATATTTTTCGCTCAAACAAACGGAGCGACAATATTAAATAAATCTCATGTCAAGTGATAAAATCTACATGCATGTTTCATGTCTTAATTAATACTATATTCTTCGGAAAATACTATATGGTACACGTTCCTTATGCAAGTTATGTCATTTGATTATCATAAATACAATAACTTAGTATTATAAGAGACATAACTTAAAAATAATAATTTTAACTAAATATCACGTGAGGGATAATCAAACAACTCTTCGGTCATTACTAAAGTTTTATTCTAACTAATATCACAATATATCATATCTAACAACGAAGTAAGTCATAACAATTAACTCAAAAATCGTACCCAAATGTGCATATAATAAACAACTAAATTATAAAAAAAAATCAATATACATGCTACTTTTTTTTCACTTTGTATCAATCACTATTCGCTAACTATTAATTTAGTTAAAGTTACAAAATAAATAAAAATTACACTAATAGTGCCGACCCTGGGCATGGGCCAACAAGGCCATGGCTTGAGGCCCCTCAAAATAGACTAAAAAAAATAGCCTCTTTTATTGTAATATATTAGGTATATTTTAAATTAAAAAAAATCTAAACTAACTTAAAATAAATTGACCTATTAGAAAATTGAAAGGCCCCATTCAAAAAAATTAATATTGTTATCCATTAAAAATAAACCCAAAAAAGGGTTCTCCTATTATAGTTACTGTAATATATTAGGTATATTTTAAATCAAAAAAAAAATTAAGGAAGATCTAAACTAACTTAAAATAAATTGACCCAATAAAAAGTTGAAAGGGCCATTTAAAATAATTAGCATTGTTATCCATTGAAAATGATTTTACAAAAAAAAGTAGATTATGTAAGTATGATTGATTTATTTGCTTCTAAAAATGCAAGAAGAGCGAGGATCAAACGACACTTATTAATTGTTGTAATGTAATACTAAGTATTTTTTGTTATTTTGACACAAATTTTTTGTCTCTTATCTTCATTTTTTTTTTTTTTTCATTCAATGAAAAAAAAATGTGAAAGCCTTAAAAATTTATTAATTAATTATTGACTTTAGGTCCCGAAAATTTCAGAGCCGGGCCTGTACACTAAACAAAACAAATACAATACATAATTATGAAAAATTAATAAAGTCTTCTATCAAAATTGGAGTTTGTTAAACAGACTATTATTTTTGCATAAATCTTAATTTTGTGTTGTCGGTAATAAGTTTCTTTTTCTTTTGTTTAAGTTCTGTATTGGAGATATCAACAATAGCCATAGCTGTAATCGTATCATTTTTTATTTTTTATTATTTTAAAGTTCCTTACTCTTTCATTCATTACTTTTATTTTTATTTTCTAGTTTAACCTTTTTCTCTTGAGTATCACATCTTTATTTCTTAAAATTATCTATCAAATCACAAAAGAAAAACGCTCCAACTCACTATTTTGTTCATTTTATACGATTTCTTTTCATCTTTCCTTTCGTTAATCATTTTAGTTATGGTATAATTAACACAATTACAATCCAGAGAAATATAAACGTCAAAATATGATGGAAAGCTTAGGGGTAGAATTAGGGCTTATTGTATGAGTAATTAAAATTTTGAAATCTTGGCACTTGATAGTATTATTAATGTGAAAAAAAAAAATGGTGTGAATTTCAGCAAATAGGTAATGATTTCAAAAAAAAAAATGTTGTTGAATTAATAATGATATAAAAAAATATATATATATATATATATATTGGTCTGAATTTCAGCAAATAGGTAATGATTTCAAAAAAAAAATATGTTGTTGAATTAATAATGATATAATAAATTAATGATAAATTACATTCTCATTATAATGGTAAGGTTTAATTTTATTTTATTTTTTAAAAATTAACTAGTCAAATGTGTAATATAAAATAACATCATATATTATACTATGTAATAAATGTTTTAGAGTGTGATATACTATTTGAATATTGTTATACTTAAATATTATACCATTAACCCTAATAAATGATGTTTGCATAAAAAAATTCAATTCAAACAAACTAAGGTCAAAATCCAATAGGTAGACTCTTACCAAAGAAAAATGGAGAAGAAAATATTTATGCAGGCTTGGAGATAGGTACAGTTCGTTTCAATAATCTTAGCAATATTAATCAATATATTAATAAACATATTCATTAAGAAAATTCCTTTGATACATCATATATATTTAATTATGCATTTTTATGATACATATTATGCATTTTAATTGTAAATATTACATAATTTATAATTTAGAAATGACTTTAGTTATTTTGTAACACAAAATACGTAATATTATCTCAAAAATATATAACGTCACTTCTAAATCATACGTTATCGTAATTTTATCATAAAATTACATAACATTTGCGATAAAAATATGTAAATAAGTGCACACGATATATCAATTAAACATACGCTCCGTTTGTTTTGGACGGAAAACATTTTCCAACAGAAAACTTTTTTTAGAAAATATTTTTCGGAGAAAACATTTTTTTATATTTGGCAATAGTGGTGGGACAAAAGTGGATGCGGAGGTGTTGGAAAGTGGTGATTGTGACGGTGATTGTGACGGTGGCCATCGTGTTAGAAGTGAGAGTAGCGGTAATAGTGTGGTGACATTAGTAAAATTTAGCCTATAACATATTTTCATGGAAAACGTTTTATGCCCAATTATGTTTGTTTTTCATTGATCATGAAAAACTAAAACATTTTCTGTTAACTTTAGTTTTTCATTATATCAAATGTTAAGAAATATGAAAAATATTTTCTGCTCAAACAAACGAAGCGACAATATATAAATCTCATGTCAAGTGATAAAATCTACATGCATGTTTTACGTCTTAATTAATATTATATTGATCGGGAAATGCTACATGGTACAAGTTCCTTATGCAAGCTATATCATTTGTGAGTTTGATTATCATAAATGACATAACTCAGTATTATGGGAGACATAACTTAAAAAAAAATAGTTTTAACTAAATATCACATGAGGGATAATCAAACAATTCTTAAATCATAACTAAAGTTTTGTTCTAACCAATATCAGAATATATCATAACTAACAACATTGTAAGTCATAACAATTAACTCAAAAGTCATATCCAAATGTGCATATAATAAACAACTATATTTTATAAAAAAATCAATATATAAAGATTATGATTATCTCCGTTATATTATTCAATAATGAGTGTAATAATTTTTTTAATTTAAAATAATTATGAATTTATATTCTTAATTTATAGTCATTAAATTTCTAATCAAAATCCTTGTTACATGGCACTAGTTAGTATTTGCAACTCCACTGAATTAGAACACCACATGGGAAGAAAGCAGGAAAAGTAAGATTCAAAGTCGGGAAACATGATCTGCGGTCATGTGGAGAGTAGAAATTAGACTCAGTATTTTCCCTTCCAAATATTAAATTAGGACGACGCGTATTATGAACAGTGAGGATAAATAGAAAGTGGGTATTCAAAGTCGGGATTCAACTCTTTTCACTCTATAATCGTATTGGACAATTCAATCTGGCCAAATAGATTTACTTTTGAATTTTGTTTTAATAATCTTAACCGTTTATATTTTAAAATTCATCGACTATATTATTCTTACAAAAAATTAAATTAATCGGATAACGAAAATCATATATTTGAATCAATTTTATATAAATAATTTATTTTCTTATCGTCCATTTTTTATATATATAAAATTAATCTAAACATATCGTTATGATTATCTAATCAACTTAATTTTTTATAAAAATAATACTCTCGATAAATCTTAAAATGTAGACGGTTTACGTTATCAAAACGAGATCAAAAATGGGTCGACAAGGCCCCACAGGACCTCTCCAGTGCCATTTAGGGCTGCAGAGTAGCCAAGCCTTCAAAGTCCTCGAATTCCAACCTGAATACATATCACAAACTCAAGACCAAGACTTCTCTCACTCCATTGTCATATCTACCTACACACCGACTTCCCCTCTTTCTCTCTCTTTCACTCTCTCTTTCCCCTTTATATTCTCGGCAACGAACATACTATTATATGTTTTCATCTCTCTCTCATATTTTATGGGTTTCAATTAAAATTCTCTAATCTCGTCTGTCTAGAGCTTCTGTTTCTGGGCTTTTGTTTTCTGAGAATCAGGAAGCAAACCATCCCTGCTTGCTCAATCTTCAACCATTTCTTTTCTTTTCTTTTTTTTCATATTTTTTCGTTGGTTTCCTCAAATTCTTTTATTTTCCCAAGAAACCCTTTTGAAAATTTTAACTGATTCTTCACAAACTCATCATCCCCTTGTTCTGAATTTTGATAAATTTATTCTTTTCTCTGTTCTTGTTTCTGCTTTCTGCAAGCTTGGGGGATTTTCTCAGTATCCAAACACGAAAAAGAAAAACCAATCATGACCATGTTGTCAAACTTGTTTCTCATTCTCCTAACCCTTTTCTTATTTTCCTTCGCCGGCGCTGCCGCCGGAGTTCATACCCTGAAGAACTCGAATTCCAACCTCACCGGCATCGAATTCCCTGATCATATGAGCTTCAATGCGGTCTCTGCTTCACCCAATTCAGGCTGTGGTCTCACAACATCAAAAAGAATCAAATCTGAAGATCTTGAAGCTGAAGAACAAGATGATAAAATGGTTACATCACCACACAAATCAACCACCCCAACTGTCAAACTCGATCTGAAACACCGCTCAGTTAACAGAGAAATGAAGAAAAAAGACTCTGTAACCGAGTCAACCACCAGAGACCTGATCAGAATACAGACCCTCCACACAAGAATCGTAGAGAAGAAGAATCAAAACACCCTTTCAAGGCTAAACAAAGATACGAAGATCCAAACAGTTGCTCCGGCAGCCTCGCCGGAATCGGTATCGGAATCTGACCCACATGGGTTTTCCGGCCAGATGGTGGCGACTCTGGAATCAGGGGTGAGTCTTGGATCAGGAGAGTATTTCATGGATGTGTTTGTGGGTACACCTCCGAAACACTTCTCTTTGATTCTTGATACAGGTAGTGATCTCAATTGGATTCAATGTGTTCCTTGTTATGATTGTTTTGAGCAAAGTGGACCTCATTACAATCCCAATGAATCTACTTCTTTTCGGAATATCGGTTGTCATGATCCCAGATGTCACCTTGTTGCTTCCCCGGATCCTCCTCAGCCTTGCAAATCCGATAACCAAACATGCCCTTATTACTATTGGTATGGGGACAGCTCGAACACCACCGGCGATTTCGCGCTCGAAACTTTCACCGTTAACCTCACCCGGAATGGGAAGTCGGAGTTCCGGGAAGTGGAAAACGTGATGTTTGGTTGCGGACATTGGAACCGAGGCCTGTTTCATGGGGCAGCCGGTTTGTTGGGACTCGGAAGGGGGCCTCTTTCATTCTCATCTCAGCTACAATCATTTTACGGTCATTCGTTTTCCTATTGTCTTGTGGATAGGAATAGCGACTCAAATGTGAGTAGCAAGTTACTATTTGGGGAGGATAAGGAGCTTTTAAATAACCCGCTATTGAATTTTACTTCATTTGTTGGAAATAGTAAGGAAGTTGATACTTTCTACTATTTGCAAATAAAGTCGATCGTAGTTGGAGGAGAGGTGCTAAAAATACCACAAGAGATTTGGAATGTTAGCGGTGGCGGCGGTGGTGGTACGATTATTGATTCGGGTACTACATTGAGTTATTTTGCTAGTCCGGCTTATAAGGTTATTAAGGAAGCGTTTGTTAACAAGGTGGGGAATAGGTACCCAATTGTAAGAGATTATTTTCCTATATTGGATCCTTGTTACAATGTTTCCGGAGTGGAAAAACCCGAGCTCCCCGCATTTGGGATTCAATTTGGGGATGGAGCATTGTGGAATTTCCCCGTTGATAACTATTTCATTCGGCTTGAACCGGAGGAGATTGTTTGTTTGGCGATCATGGAGAGTCCTCGTCCATCAACTCTATCCATAATTGGGAATTATCAGCAGCAGAATTTTCATATCTTGTATGACACACACAAGTCTAGGCTGGGTTTTGCACCAACAAAATGTGCTGATCTTTAACTACATAATACATACACTTTTAAAGAAACACCAAATTTGGGGTGTACTATGAACTATGGAAACTGTACACAAGTTGGGTTCAGAGAGAGACCACTTTTTTTTCCTTTTCAATAGAAGGTAACATATATGACACTTTGTTCTTTTTTTTTTCTTGTCTTTATTTTTCATTTTTTGTTTCCAAGTTCATGTATATATATACATATATGGATTAACAGGGATTACAATCTGTTCAATGAAAATAAATTCATGCTTTCAATATATTTGTACTGATTTTTGTTATAATCATAATACTAAGGAAGTAGTTGTGAATTGTTGTCAGTTGTTTTGAAGCATGTATGGTATGTTTGTGAATTGTTGTCAGTTGTGAACCGTTGTCCCAGAATTTTTCAGAAGTTGGAGGATCTTAGAGTATCTCCATCGGTGAATCAGATTTTTTATTAAATCTGAGTCAAAAATAACTCATTTTATCAAATTTGATACCACTCGCTCCAACGGTACATCAAATCCCGTATCAAATCCCGTATCAAATCCCATGGGTCGACCGGTGGGTTGACCGGCAAGTGTAAATATTTTTTTTTGGAACGCTACGTTTCAACGCTATGTTTTATAGAATATTTCAATGATAAAACAATTGCAGCTTTCTGTAAAGATGTTTGCTAGTGAGTCGACCCATTTCTGAAATTGTTTCAAATGATGAAAACCCACCAATTGTTTCAATTGGGTTGTCATGATGTATACAATTTCAACTTTCATAGATTCATATTTGCATATTCATATTTTTAAACAATTGCAGCTTGTCATGAAGTCATGATGTTAACATGTCTAGCTTCAGATGAATGTATGATTAAACAATTGTCATGATGTAAACATGTCCAGCTTCATAGTTGCAGCTTTCATTCTTAGAGATTCATCAATTGAATAAAGTGCAGATGTTTGGGTCGACCGGTTGGTTGACCGGACGGTCGATCGGCCGGTTAACCGGTAAAACAAAATTTTTTTTTTTTTTTTTAACCTGTTTGAACCTTTTTTGACCGGTTTGAACCTATCAATTTCAAAGGAATTCGGTCGACCGGTTAGTCGACCGGTTGGTCAACCGGCCGAGCAACCGGTTGGTCGACCGGGTCCTCCCTCCAACGGTCACCAATAGTGTTTTGGTGAAATTAGTATTTCGTCGTCAGTTTGATGAATTGTTTGATGAAATCTCAATCTGATATTCATTTGGTGCAACTATTGGAGCAGTGAATAGTAACTTTTTCATCAAAATTTGAATTTGATATCAGTTTTGGTGAACCATTGGAGATGGACTTATAAGTAAAATTTGAAAAATTATCAAAAAGTAAAACGAATTCATTAAAATAGTGAAATAGTCAAAAAAAATTCTAAAAAATAATCACTTCTTAAGCCATTATATAAAGGAAAAAGTTAGGAATTATAAAAAAAAATTATGAAAATAATTATGAAAGTTTTGTGACCCGTGCATTACCTTGATTAGTGTGTAATATTTTATTCTAAGTATAATTTAAAGATCACAAATCTTTCATAATTATTTTCATAAAAAAAATTTCATAATACCTAACATTACTGTTATATAAATTTAAATTTTAACGTGTCGTAAATGATATTGATAATGTATTTGACCGACACACTTCATTTTCTGATATTCTTCCATAGCATTGCTGTGCTGGCCACCACATGAGTTCTCTCTATTTGACTATAGTTTTATTTTCCATCTCTTCGCTCTTCACGTCTCTTGTTGCCATTTTGGTGGGATTAATATCAGACCAATTTTAATAGTCAAAGTTAATGATTTGGTAAAGTTATTTTTTAACTTGCAACAATGAAAAGAAAAAAAATAGTTATCAATTTGTTTGATTTTGGTTTTAGAAAATATTTTTTTATTTTTCGTAATTTTTTATTTTTAATGAATATTTTAAGTAATATTTTAATTTTTAGACTCACCTAATATAAATATACTTAAAAAAGTATAATATTTATAAAAAAAATCTTTAAAAAATTCATTAAATGCCAAAAATACAATATATATATATATATATATGAAAAATTAGTACATTTTTCATATTTTTATATATTTATTAATTTTTTAAAATATTTTTTCATAAATATTTTATTATTTAGATACATTTAAGTAAGGTACATCTAAAAAAGTAAAAAAATTACTTAAAATTTTAAAAATATTCACGAAAAACAAAAAAATCAATTTCTAAAAAATTGAATTCAGAAAACTTCAATCAAACACACTGATAATTTCTGATAGTATTATTAAATTTTGTAATTTTAAAACATTTCATTGAGAGTTTTTTGAATTGTGAAAGTTCTGACTATGATAGAAAATAAATAAATATTTTACACACAAAAATATGATATGGCAGAAAATAATTTTTTCAAATTTTGAGTTAAATTTAATACTATTTGATTTAATCATTTTTTAACAATAAGTTTAGCTCACAATTGGAGACCTTTTTTTGTGGGATCTAACTTTTTTAGACTTTGACAAGGCCTTCAACTTGATTGTTTGAGTTGAATTTTACCTACTATAACTATGTGTTGTATGGAAATTTGAGGTGTTCAATTTGACTTTGTTCAACATCACGGAAAAGCATTTATCTTTTTCTTCTTATTATACTTTTTTTGACTACTTTGGGATGACGAGTTCCAACAAGTTTAATTGTTGGTTTGGATTCACATTTCTTGCAACTTTTTGGATGATATGTTAAAAATTTATAAAGTGTAGCTTTTTGTGAAGGACTTAGTTAACGAGTATCTTAAGGATATTAGTTAATAATATTTAAATTAATTATATATTATATATTGTATGTATTTTTATATATTATATACAAATATTTCAAGTTTATTATTAAGTACCATAAGAGTATTCATTAAACATAACTTTCTTTCTTTCTTTCTTTCTCTTTTTTCTTTTTTTAAATATACTTTTAATTATGAAAACATTGAGGAACTTTTTTTGAATATTATTAAGTACCATAACGCTGTATTTGGTTGGGGGATTTGAGGAGGGATTTGGAAAGAGAAAGGAAAAAGTTAGGTGAAATGTGAATAAAATATACCTACATTTCACCTAGTTTCACACACCTTTTCCCTTTCCCTTTCCAAATCCCTCCCTAAATCCTCCAACCAAACATAGCATAAGAGTATTCATTAAACATAACTTTCTTTCTTTCTTTCTTTCTTTTTTTTCTTTTTTTAAATACACTTTTAATTATGAAAATATTGAGGAACTTTTTCTGAACGTTCAAAAATTAAGAAAAGTTAAGTTGAAAAAACACTTCTTGGCTAATTTAGACATTTTTATCTATTTTTTAAATAAACTGATCAAACTATGTAAATTGAATTCAGTAAACTGTGTCAAACCCCTTCTACTAACTTGTTTTTAATATTTAATTCAAATAAGCTAACTTAAAAGCTTTGTCCAATGACCTCAAACCTAGTCAACTGTCAATAGTCAATCTTCATGATCTCATTTTATTTAATAAGAGGAATGGCATAGGTGTAGTTACGACTTATTGTAACGTTGCTTATGAGAAAAAAGGTTGTTGCTAGTCACTTTAGGCAATGAGTTGGGCTCATGGACAAACTATCGTATTTTGAACTCTTAGCCCAAAGCATTATAGGGTCATGCAAGGCAATATTACCTGAGCGGAAGGCCCATTCGAAACTCAAACCTCCGACAGCAATCTACATTCAATCCAATGTCATTTTCGTACCCGATCCACCAGTAATGAGCAAATAGTAAATGGGGACGTACGAGCTAGTCCTATTGATCAGATTTATTTACCAGTAAGTCCGGCTCATTATTTCACTTCTCAATATCTCCAAAATACCCTTCATGCACCTCCTTGAGAGAGAGAGAGAAGATGAAGAGGAAAACGAAAAGGAAAAGGAAAGACCTTCGTAGAAAATTGTTAGTTTTCGTGTCGTAAATCAACATAACCATGCCTTTACTATCTGCTCTTTGTCCTCTTTCCAGTGATAAATTTATCACTGATAGATTGGCCCATCCAACATATTCACATCTACAATGACAAGTCAGTGATACAATCATCACTATATAAATATAAAAAATCAACAACAATATATAGCATATTCAACAAATCAATAATAAATTTATCACTAATAAATTAATCATACTACATATTCATCTCTCTCTAGTGACAAAAATGATGAATTTATCACTGACTATTTGTTAAAAAATTATAAAAAGAAAATCTTATCATCGTTGTTACAAATTAACACAAGATTCAAAGACATATTCAGTAATAAATTTAGCAATGATAAACACACTCACTGATAAATTTGTCACTAGTTGTTTGTTAAAAGATTACAAAAATAAATAAATAAATAAATAAAATCTCATCATCATCGTCACAAATCAACACAAGATTCACAGAAATATATCAGTGATACATTTATCACTGATACAACAGATTTAGTATAAGAGAAATAAAGAGAAAAAGAGGGAGTGAGGAAAAGAGAGGTGATAAATATAACATGAACAAAAATCAATGATAAATTTATCATTGTATTAATATCAAAATTCCAATAGTAATAGTCCACAACATATTAAACAAATCAGTGATAAATTTGTCACGAAATTAAGTGATAAATTCGTCAGGTTAGTTCAACATATTTTACAAATGTAGATCTTCACCAACACACTGTAGAAAATAGTCTCGATCTCATTGGCAACCATGTAAAGTACCAAATTGGCACCGAAGATGGTAGATCAGTATTGAAAATAACTAGATTTGAAGCCATTGGTGAAGTTCGACATTGAAGATAGTGGATCGATGATTGAAGAAGAACGATGGTGATGGCAGATGAAGGATGGATGAAGAGCGAAGGTAATAGCAAAGATAAAGGAAGACGACAATGTTAGGCAAGCAAGTCAAACAGTTGAGATATGGTAAAGTATAGATCGATGATGATAGAGATGGTTGGTAAACAATAGTAGTGGTAATGGCTGGTGAACGTGGTGGTGGTGACCAGTAGAGGTGGCGATGGTTAGTGACGGACGACAATGGTGGTTGTAGGTGGATAGCCATGGCTACAGCCATAGCTACAATGGTGGTATTTTCTAGAGAGAAAAAAATATAAGAAAGAAGAAGAGTTTTGAAAAAATGATCAAGAGAAAAGTTAATACAAATTGAAAAAATTAATGAGTAATAAATATTATAAACAATTAAAGAATTAGAAAGTGTTTGGGATGATTTAAATAGGGATT